TAATACTTTAAATTAAAAATAATTTTTATTTTTGAACTTAAAATAAATCAATCAAAACTTAACACATGACATTTATAATTTAAAATAAAAATCAATTTTATCACTTTTAAAATAAAAAATAATTATTATTAATTGATAATTACTATTTATTCTATACTCAAAACACAGATCGAATAGATAAATTCATAATTTTTTTAGTTTGATTGATTAAAAGGAAAAACCTTTTCGGTATATCTCGTCGTATACGTGGAATCAAAATCTTTCTCTATATATTGCCATGGATGATAAGGACCTTCAACCCGCCAGTCTCTCGCGCTCTCCCCTGTCAACGATCCATTTTAATAAACAAATTTTATTTTAAACTCCTGAATTAATTCTACTTTGGCACGTGCCCTTGGACAAAAATTTAGCCGAATAGCCCTTCGACCATGTAATAATCTAGGATAATGCTATGTGTACCCCCATCATTACACCCTCTACTACACACCTTACTTTTCATTATTTTTCCGTTAACTCCCAAATCCACCCAACGTAGTCCCTTCTTCCTCTCTCTCTTTTCTTAGAATCTCAGAGGTTACAATTAGTGCAATCAAAACCTGCAATTGCCCCTAATAAAACCTGCAATTTCATCCTATCATTTTCTTTCTCTCTTTATCCCTCCATCAACACCAGATCGAGACATTTTCCCTTCCAATTTCTCTCTTTTGCTGGGGATTTGAATTTTGTCCGATTGAGAACATGAAGGCACTAGTGGAGGAGGTAAAGACGTTGTTGGCTGAAGGGCGATCGGTTGGGGTGGATAGGAGGATAAGGAAGGGGGGTTGGTGTTTGGTTTGGGATGGTTAGGGTGGTGAAAGGTTCATTGTGGACTAGATGGGTTGGTGGTGAGGGAGAGAGGCAAGAAAGGGGACTAGTAAGGGTAGAAGAACAACGGACATGGAGGGCTCTGGTAGGGCTTGGCGTGGAGGTAGGAGGTGGGTGGTGTGGCGGTATCTGGAGGTTGTGTGATGTGTTGTTAGCTTGGAGGGAGGAGCAGGAGTAGAGATAGAGTAATCATCAATTGAAACAGTGGAGAGAGAAGCATTAGACCCAAAAGCAAATTTGGTGAAATCATCAGACCTAGAAGCAAATCTAGCGGAAGTAGGGGACATGACGTTGCAAGGTAGTGGTGGCAAAAGCAGATCTATTGGAGGTGGGTTCAAAAGAACCCAGGCTGCTGAAGAGGAAGATGAGGCTACAAATGACTAGGATGAGGATGGAGGTGAGGAGGAGGATGGATGTGGTGAGGATGATGAACAACAAAGGCTAGGCTAGGTGCCTTTAGAGTTAACGGAGAGTAACGAGGGTGTACCGAAGTGTGTAACGGGAAAGGGTGGATGAATCAGATAACACAAGAAACAAGAAGATAAAGCATTAAAAAAAATGACGTAGTATTATTACATGATTATATTACATCAAGAAAAATAATTATTTATTAATTGATTAAGTAATTTAATAATAAATTTTTATTATAAAGATAAAAAATTTAAATTTAAATTATATAACATATTACATAATATATATTAAAAA